CGGTATTTTTAAAATTAGCGGTCATCAGCGGCTTGTGAGCCGCTGATGACAGCTATTAATTTAAAGGGGACAGTCTGCTGAACAGTTCTACTATAAGCTGATGGTCGCTAAAGCGACCATCAGCTTATAGTAGAACTGTAAATGCCAGGTCCGTACGACGTACTGAGCTGGCCAGCTGGAAGCACTTTTGTAGCTCCGTACGACGTACGTCCTTGGCAGCGAAAGGGTTAAAGTGTCTCCTATGGACAATTTTAGGCATGGTAGTTTTTTTTCAATTTTGCGGGTGCGCGCAATTTTAAAGCTTGACATGTTTGGTGTCTATTTACCCGACATGACCCCGTAGTTTTATATTTTACCAAAAATGTGGGTGCTGATAAATGTTTTATAACATAAAGTAGGGAAAACTTTTTTTTCATTATATAGTAAAAAATAAATACCACCAAAAGAAAGCTCTATCTGTCCCTAAAAAATGTTACAAAATTAATTTCAGTACAGCGTTGCATGACAGAATAAATGTCAGTCAAAGTACCGCAGCGCTGAATACTGAAATATGGCCTGGGCAGGAAGGGGGTTTATTACTCCGGTCTGCAAGTGGTTAATGTGCTTTAAAAGTAATTTTTAATCTTTGAATCTGCAACTTTAATTAAAAAAATGCATTGTAATGCAGTTTCTTGTTCGGTTCTTTCTGCCCCAATTGCTCTTCTATATTTTTACTGCTGTTACTGGTGCTTCTGATGGACATTAAAATCAGCCGTGCTGATAATTATTGTGCAAGGCATGTTCCACTATTGTCTCCATTAGAAGCCCACCTTGAGCAATGATAGGCAGCTGATGTGTACACATCTAAACAGATGCTGCAAAGGTTCTGGACAAGATCAACAGTGCTGAGATGCAAGCACAGATGAAAAAAAAGAACATTGTTGTCATTGTTTATGACTTTACATTTTTTTAAAAAGATGGTGAATTCTTAATAAAGATGATAATAATAATAATAATGCAACAAGTCATCAATCTAATAAATACAGCTTTAAAGCCTTTCAGCACTGTCTGGGCAATATATTTATTTTATACTGACCTTCAGCACTGGAGGGCATTTACAGAGAGTTTGCAGAACTGTACTCACAGTTCAAAATGTCTCTCTTGAGCGCACTAGAAAAAACTGTACGTGTCACTTGTACAAGCCAAACAGGCAGAAACGCTGCCATTAACGGTGTCTCAATGTTAGCCTAACGTCCGTACTATTTTTGTTTCTTTTCCTACAGGCCTTTGGATTTATGACTCGTGTGGCCCTGCAAGCAGAAAAAATGAATCACCACCCAGAATGGTTTAATGTGTACAACAAGGTAATTCATTACATTTATATTCCATCACCTGAGCGTTAAACCAATGTTGCATTTTTTCAAGGTATCACTTTACTGGGTTTTGTAGCTCAAATGGGAATAAGGCTTCCTGCTAAGACTTGCTGTGCTCAGACTTACAAGGTTCTGTGCTGCCACACTTTAAGATTATGGCATAGTAATCATTGTCGTCTGTCAGGATGGATTTGTCACCTCTGTACTATCAGCATATTTAGTTGTACATTTCAGCACAGGAACACCTTCTAGCTGCTTCTATAACATTTTAAAAACAGCCATTATTCTTCGTATCAATTTTTAAGAATGTATGTTTACACTTCTGTTGAAATGCATACATTCTATTGAAACTCCATTTTGTTTCTTTAGAAAAAAAAATCCCCATCGGATGAATTATTTACATTAAAAAAATTGTAATATTTTATTGCAGATCCTTTCCTGTTTCTTCCATGTAAATGTTGAGATGGGCCATGTCAGTGCACATGTCAAATCAATTGAAGATTAAATGTCAAATCTGTTTTTGCCCATAGTTCTCCTTAGGGTAACGGGAGGACACAAACTAGCGTCCTCCCGTTACCCTAAGCTCAGTATACCGCGAGCTACAGCTCGCGGTATACTGAGACGCTGCAGCCGGAGCAGATCCCGACGTAGATGACGGGATCCGCCCAGCTGCGTGAGTGACAGCTGGCTCTGCCTATCTAGAGGCAGAGCCATCTGTACCCGCCCCCTCCCACGTCCATTCCGCCAGTCAGCGCTGGCAGATCGGAGCGGGAAGAGGGGAATCCAGCCCCTGTCACGGCAGAGAGCCGTGACAGGATCGAGAGGTGAGCGAACCTGGTATGTGTTCGCTCACCTCCCGATCTACTGAGCCGACCTGTGACAGTCTCATTGTCACAGGTCGGCTAGAACTATGAGGTGAGTGGAAATCACTCATCTCATAGTTCTCCTTTAATGCAAAGAAGTATGTTCTGTGCCTTTTAATAAGTACTTAGGCACTCCCAGTATTATAATAAGAACCACTATACCACTTTATCCATGTAGTCGTGTGATGCTTTATGCCACTATGCATTTTATTTTTAGTAAAGTACTTTTAACCACTTTATCGGGCCTGTTTAAACAGACTTTAGCCGCCGGGACTCTGTTTACATTTGTAAAGCCGACTGCCGGCTTTACAATAGAAGCGATTCTGGCGCATCAGCTCGCTTCTACAGTAAACTGCCCACCCCCATCTGACAACCCCACCGTGTTTCCCGGGCTCCGCTGCCCTTCCTACGATCCCGGGACCAGCATCATGGGTGTCAGTGGAAAGCCGGGGAGTAGATTGGGGAATGTCCTTTTACCGATCTCCTCCCGCACTATGGGACCGGGAGAGATGCAGATTACATCACGTCCGGTCCCATAGCTGTCAATGCTGGGCTCCTGAAGCCCAGCAATATGCTATTGAAGTGTGATCTGCACTTCAGTAGCTTATTTAGAGTGTGATGGTGATACTAGGGGTCTTTTGGACCCCCAGTATCACCTTAATGAGTACCTGTCCCTGCCAATATGCTATCACGTGGGGGGCCTGTAAGCCCCCCTATGTGATGGCAATTAAAGTGAAAAAAAAAACAGTTTTGAAAAACAATATCAAATGAAATAAATGTAAAAATAATAAAACAAAAATGTTAAAGTACCCCGTGCACGCGAGCATGTGCGTCTTCACGTAAACACGCTGCGGATGCGCCTATGTATGAAAACGATGATCGCGCTACACATGTTGGGTATCTCTGTGCATGCCAGAGTGAGAGCAATAATTATAGTGCCAATATTTATGCGTACCGCTAATCTGAGGACCTGCAGGGGACGCTTTTGAAGCGTCTTTTTGGGGTACTGAATTTTGTCGCAGTTTCACGGACGCATACAATTTTTAACCTGGGCATGTTGGGTATGTATTTACTCATTGTAACCTCACCTTTCATATTTTATTAAATAATTGGTATTTTATTTTGTTTTGGGGCATTTAAGTGCATTTTTCACTAAAATTTGGGGTTTGATAAAGAGTTGCGCCAATATCATGCAACATAAAAAATTGCAACTACCACAATTTTGTTCTATACGGTCTTGGTTTTTGGAAAATATATGTTGGGGTTTTAAGCAATTTTCAGGCCTAAAATGTGGATTATAACATAGGTGCAAAAAAAAAAGGCCTCGGTCATGAAGGGGTTGAAGGTTATTGCCACAGATGCCAGACACCATGCAATACTATATTTGCTATATGTTGTTATAGTGTGCAGACTTTGGGAAAAGATAGCAAGGAGCAGGGTGGAACATTTCTAAAAAATATTGTCTGAAACCACAATACTGTCAAGACTGAAAGGCAGAGGATTTAGAATTTTTGGGTAGTTACAGAAAATTATGGCTGACTGTACAATAACAAATACATTTGAATTTTTTTATTGGTCAAAATTTTATATAAATTATGAGTTTTTAACTGAGCTGGAGTTTCTATCAAATATGTACAACTCTAAGTACTACTTAATCTCACAGTGATCTTAAAGCAAGTTTGGCACAGCATGATTTTAGGTTTAACATACCAGCTTTTTTGCATATCTGCAGCCATCACAGCTTTAAGTGAACCCGTGCCCTGACTTTGCCAACTAAAGTATTTGCATATTCTGAACACGCAGTAAAAGAACTTAAAAACAAACCCTTACACACCTCTTAGCTATAACTATTGTGGAATAATCTTTGTTGTTTTCCTATTACTTTCTATTGCACCAGAATCTTGGCAGCATGCCAACCTTCTAATGTAAACAAACAACAGTTGTTTCTGAGCTCTTAACACTGACTGAAATGTCTTTTTTTTCTGTGATCTTTGAAGATCTTTGAGAATAAATTATTTAACATTACAAGCAGATTAGGTTTAGAAGTGGCTTGTTTTAAGTTTATTTTACTTCTTGCTAAAAAAATGTCAATAATGTAATGTCCACAGTCTGGGCACATGTGCACTTTAACAAGGCAAGATCTTCAATACCTAATGTTAAGACATCTAAACAATTTTGCCACTAGAAAGCATAAAAAAGTTTTATATGTATTGTATTATTTAAAACGTTTTACCAAGTTGTTCATTAAACCTAAGTGTAAACCTAAGGGAAATCTCCAGAGCATGTACACCAAAGTTACATGAACACATTAGGGTAGATTTACTAAAGGAGTGGATCATTAGCACTTTGCCAATAGAATTTCGACTTTGTAAATGAGGGCAAGGTCGGTAAAAATGTACTTTGTTTAGAATATCCAGTTATGTGCAAGGAAAATGAAAAATATATTTTTTTCTCATATATGATTGGATGATTAAAGTCATCCCAGCTTCATCTCATTTACTAAGCTTAGTAAAAATTCACTTAGCAAAGTGAACACGCTATACTCCTTCATGAAATCAACCCTAATGTGTTTTTTGTTTTTTTTACCTGCCACATGATCAAGATACACTGATTGCGATTTTATGTGTTTTATCCTTACAGGTTCAAATAACTCTCACTACGCATGACTGTGGAAAGTTGACCAAAAAAGATGTGAAGCTTGCTCAGTTTATCGAAAAAGCTGTAACGTCTTAACAAACAATAAATTGTGCGTTTTCTGGGATTTTGTGACAATATTTACTGTATGCATAGGTATTATTTAGTTTACACCATCATTTGCATTATAGAAGCTGGAATGTGCAAAATGCAGTAACCATTGCTTTCAAAAAGATTACAGTAAAGTAGTAATTTATGAATGGTAAATATCAGTTACCCTACTTTGCCTATTCTCATTGCAGTGTTTTATTTAATTAGAGTTTATATGAATGTTTGACATTTTATTTATTCAGCATAGCCAGTCAGCATTACTGAGAATGATGATATTTCTCAAAAGGTGTTTACATACCATATGTCTTTCAATAATGCAAAAGAAGGGTATTTATTTAAAAGGAACCCTTTGTTTTGAGAAATATGTAAGCTGCCATTGCTTGCCTCTCTAAATAGAAAAACTAGTTTTTGGCTATCAGATGGTTTCTCTGAATTAAAAGTGGTATTAAAGTCTCAATTGTTTTACAATATATGCCCTAATATGCTTATGAACCAAAAAATGCTCCTGACTCAACAGCACACCAAAGGGCAATGCATAGGGTTTTTCTAATGCATGCATTGCAGCATGCTTAGGGTCAGTTGCTTTTTGAGCATACATGGGTGTTGGGCTGCCATTAAAAATGAATACATATGCATTCTATTATATGCTAATTAACGGTTCCTAATTCACTGACTTGATACATGTATGTAAACAAGGAGTTTTAATTTTGTTCTGATTTTAGATGCTTTATGCTTGTTATGCTTGGTCATTGACTCAAAGATTTACATACAGGCAACTACCATTTTCAGACTGAGGTCAGCACTTGTAGCTCTCATTTTTCCCTCAGCACAGATCACCTTATTTAATATTTGAGTGATCAATATATGCTCATATCCAATTGATTTTAGTCACCTAAATCTGACCCCAGCTGTACATAAATTTGAACCGAAGTGTACCTCCTGGTTAATTGTACCCCTATGGGGTAGGTAGGTTGAACTAGGTTAGAATAGTATGGATGCCCCAGCTTCTACATATTATCTTCACATAACATTCAGTGCAGATTACATCTAGTTTTGGTGGGGAAGATCTTATCTTTGATTTGGAGACAGGGAGAGCTCCACACCAAAATAGAAAAGATAAATGACTTTGATTTGTGTGGAAGACAGGGAATTTTAAAAACGGTTATTGCCCTTGCCATCTACTGTCTCAGGATGGTTAAATAATGTTAACAGCACTTTAAAATTAGAAAGACTGACTTTTCAACATAGAGCCTTTCTGTTAATTTCATAAAATATGGGCTACATATCCAAGCTTACTAGCATAAGCAGACTATTCGAGAAAACTTTAGTGAGGAAGTAGGATGACTGTCCCTGTGTACATAAGTACATGGGTTCATAACTGCATCTTTTAGATATGGTTGTTGGAAACCTGAATTATTTGGCAACTCAAGGATTCAATCCTTCTTACATTTATTTATGATGGACTTTTATAGGTATAAAGTTATACATGATAAATAAGTTAACTAACAAAGTAGTCAGCAAGTCTGTGTATAGCCAGATTGTTGTCTGTAGAGATGACTTGTGTGTATATTGATGCTTGGAATGAGAAACGAATGTCCTATATTATGATACTCTAATCTAATATTTTATATGGTGGCTGCTGTTGTGAGGTTCTGATTGCGGGGGGGGGGGGGGGCTGGAGACCTGAGTATTTTCTAATTTCTGTTGTACATTTATTACAATAATTAAATAACATTTTAAAAAGATGATTTAAAAAATGAAATGTGAGGAGTCATGCTACTATATCTTTTATGCCCCAGTGATAAATTGAGTTGCAGTTCAGCGAGTAAAATAAGTATTTGATCCCCTACCAACCAACAATCATTCTGACTCCCACAGACTGGCTATGTGGTACACAGATTAGTCCTGTCAATTTAAGAAGGTGCTCCTAACGACAACTCGTTATGTATATAAAAGACACCTGTCCACAGAATCTCTTTCTTCCATTCAAACCTCACCACCATAGGCGAGATCAAAGAGCTATCAAAGGGCTTTATGGACAAGATTATAGACCTGCACAAGGTTGGAATGGGCTTCAAGACTATCAGCAAGAAGCTTAGTGAGAAGGAAACAACTGTTGGAGTGATTATTCGCAAATGGAAGAAATACAAAATAATCATCAATCGCCCTGGGTCTGAAGCTCCATGCAAGATTTCGCCTCATGGGGTAAGGATGATCATGAGAAAAGTGATGGATCAGCCCAGAACTACATGGGAGGAGCTTGTGAATGATCTCAAGGCAGTTGGGGCCACAGTCACCAAACAAACCATTGGTAACACAATACACCGCCATGGATTGAGATCCTGATGGGCCCCCAAGATCCCCCTCCTCAAGAAGGCACATGTACAGGCCCGTCTGAAGTTTGCCAATGAACATCTAAATGATTCAGAGAAGGATTGGGAGAAAGTGCTGTGGTCAGAGACCATTAAGTCGATTTGCCGTGGTTGGAGGAAGAAAAATGCTGACTATGACCTTAACAACACCATCCCTACAGTCAAGCACAGAGGTGGAAACATTATGCTTTGGGGCTGTTTCTCAGCTAAAGGTACAGGCCGACTTTGCCACATTGAGGGGCCAATGGACGGGCCATGTATTGTAAAATCCTGGATGAGAACCTCCTTCCCTCAGCCAGAACACTGAAGATGGGTCATGGATGGGTCTTTCAGCATGACAACGACCCAAAACATACCGCCAAGGCAACAAAGCAGTGGCTCAAGAAGAAGCACATTAAGGTCATGGAATGGCCTAGCCAGTCTCCAGACCTTAATCCTATAGAAAATTTATGGAGGGAGCTGAAACTTCGAGGTTGCCAAGTGACAGCCAAGAAACCTTATGGATTTAGAGAAGATCTGTAAAGAAGAATGGACCAAAATCCCTCCTGAGATGTGTGCAAACCTGGTAGCCAACTACAAGAAACGCCTTACCTCTGTGCTTGCCAACAAGGGTTTCTCCACCAGGTACTAAGTCATGTTTTGCTTGAGGATCAAATACTTATTTTACTCAGTGAACTGCAACTCAATTTATAACATTTGTATCATGATTTGTGGTTGACATTCTGTCTCTATCATTTAAAATACACCTATGATAAAAATTATAGACCTTTTATTTCTTTGTAAGCCGGCAAAATTACAAAATCTGCAGGGGATCAAGTAATTATTTTCCTCACTGTCTGTAATAAATATATATATATATATATATACACAACATACACACACAGCTGAAGCAATAGCATAGCAATACCACATTAAGTAGTAATGACAAATTTAATAATAGAGAAAATACATTCCTGCATAGTTGTTTTAAAATCACTGTTATCCCTAGCTACAATTAGAACGTAATATGGGTACATTTTAGCTATGCATCAGTTACATACAGGAGCCATTGGCAACTTACCAGGGTAATTTGAAGAATAATGGCATTTCTGGCCTTTCTTATTAGAAAGCTCATCATGTTTTACAAACTGGCAATATGGATGTACACTGTATTAAACGACTTGTAAAATAAAAAATGTATAGACGTAATTTAAAAGCACCTAAACACCAGTTTATAAACCCACCAGTCAGGTTTTCCCCTTACTCCCGGTCCTGGTGCCATCTATGTGTCAGAATTTGACCCCAGTGTGTTACTGGGGATGAAAGTGAGGGGGAACAGAAAATGGAGGTTCTAATCTCTTCCCACTCTGTCCTCAAAACAATAGCTGGAGATGGCCAGAATATAATTCCTTGCATATACAATTGTTGCAATTCATTGCGGCCATGTGCATTCCAAATAAACCCTTATTGCAGGCAAATATGTTTTCTAAATTTTTCTTATTGAATTGCCGCCACCTTTTTTCTGTTGCAGTGCTAAATGTTTATAGTTTTTTATTTTTTCACCCTGTTCTAAGCAATGAAAAACTAAAAACTAGTTTAATGGAAGCATTGCCTTTCACTATGCTTGGCCTTTGGGCTGCCTATTAGGTTCATCAGATAAGTAGCCCAACAGCCAAGTAAAGGAGACATACACTATATTGCCAAAAGTATTGGGAAACCCCTTCAAATCATTGGATTTAGGTGTTCCAATCTCCTCCATGGCCACAGGTGTATAAAATCAAGCACCTAGGCATGCAGACTGCTTCTACAAATATTTGTGAAAGAACGAGTCGCTCTCAGGAGCTCAGTGAATTCAAGCGTGGTACCGTGATAGGTTGCCAACTGTTGAAGAAGTCCATCTGTGAAATGTCCTTGCTACTAAATATTCCACGGTCAACTGTTAGTGGTATTATAACAAAGTGGAAGCAACTGGGAACAACAGCAACTCAGCCAAGAAGTCGTAGGCTACCTAAAATGACAGAGTGGGGTTGCCAGGAGAACGCTACTTGCCTGACTGCATTGTGCCAAGTGTGAAGTTTGGTGGAGGGGGGATTATGGTGTGGGGTTGTTTTTCAGCGGCTGGGCTTGGCCCCTTCGTTCCAGTGAAGGGAACTCTTAAGGCATTAGCATACCAAGACATTTTGGATAATGTCATGCTCCTAACTTTGTGGGAACAGTTTGGGGATGGCCCCTTCCTGTGCCAACATGACTGCACACAAAGCAAGGTCCATAAAGACATGGATGAGCGAGTTTGGGGTGGAGGAACTTGACTGGCCTGCACAGAGTCCTGACCTCAACCTGATAGAACACCTTTGGGATGCAAGCCAGGCCTTCTCGTCCAACATCAGTACCTGACCTCACAAATGCACTTCTGGAGGAATGGTCAAACATTCTGTGATAGTTTGGGGAATATAGCACAATGGTAAGTGCTAAGTGACCACTCCTGGAGCCGACTTTAATATAAAAGGACAGTCTTTATTCATTCAAAAGGTGAACAGTCCATGATCACAAAATAACTCTCCTTTCTTCAGCATAAACGAAGCATAACAGTTCATTGGACTCTCATTAACACATCATGTTTTGGTCTCACCGACATCTGGCTGTCCCATACACTCCCAGTGTTATAGTTCC